GAGGGAGGAGCTATGGAGCCCCTGAGAGGTGCATGGAGGGCTCCACAGTGTACAGGTTGGGAATGACTGGTCTGGAGGGCTCCACAGTGTACAGGTTGGGAATGACTGGTCTGGAGGGCTCCACAGTGTACAGGTTGGGAATGACTGGTCTGGAGGGCTCCACAGTGTACAGGTTGGGAATGACTGGTCTAGAGGGCTCCACAGTGTACAGGTTGGGAATGACTGGTCTAGAGGGCTCCACAGTGTACAGGTTGGGAATGACTGGTCTAGAGGGCTCCACAGTGTACAGGTTGGGAATAACTGGTCTACATTATGGGAAATAACAGAGGCTTGATATGTGAAGGCACATTTTTTAGAAACGAAGAGTTTAAATAATTAAAAATAAAGTATTTAGCAAACTTTGGATGAAATTAAAAACATTTCTTATTTTCAATGACAATTTTCCTCAAGGCTAGGATCAATCTGAGACTAGAAGAAATAACAGCCGTCTAGGAGATTGATATAAGTTATGAGTTTGACATTATAGTTATTTAGTGATTCTTTCCATTTCTCATTAGCAAAACAAGATTGAGGTCACATGCTTCCAGTCACAGGAGGTCAATTCTGAGTAAGTTGTAATAGCTCTTTGCCTAAACCTAGCTGTTTGCCTAATCTTAGCTTACATAATTATCTATATTTTGACTTAGACCATCAGATTTCAATCTTCATATTACTGTGCCCCATGCCCAAGTTTTATATTATTATCCAAGGGCTTATTTTATATATAGTCATAAATAAAGACTAAACTTTTCTTCCACTCCCTGTTTTGGTACCAATAAGCCCCCCCCCCCTCTGGTTTTGAATCCTCTTTCAAAGACCTTGATCCTGACAAGTCATTTGAGTGTTTATTTTAACAGAGCATCAAAATTACATTACAGCAAGTTAAAAAAAGTTGATTAACAATTTGCTTGAACCCAAACAGGTTCCAGAGGTTGGAGGTTCCTTTGTTTATAACACCGAGCTACCAGATTGGGAAGCCCTGCCTGGACTCACTGGTGGACCTGCCTAAAATTCTGCTACAGGAGGAGGACGATGCTTACGAGAGGGTGACAGTAGAATCACAGGATTTGCTGACACGGATACACAACACATCAGGTCAGATGGTTACTACTGTATAGTGAAATAGTAAAACAAGGTATGTTGAAGCTTGAATCAAAAGATAGGACAATAAGATGGGCACGTTTTGGCTTAGAGCCTTCTTCAGTGAACAGGACAAGTACGACAAGAAACAGAGCACAGGAAAAACTTTAGAGATCTCCTTTGTTGTTGCTGGAAGCAGGATTACTGGAAGTGAAAGAATATAAATATTGATACTGAGACAAATAAGGGAGAGAATCCTAATGGATACAAATATGTAAGGATACATAAAATCTAAGGAGTAAGAAAAAAAGAAGAAATACAGTGAGCAGAGACCTTGGGGCAATGTTCCCTTTAAACTGCGCAGCAGCGCAGCTATCTCACATATGCTGCGCAGCAAATTTCAAAGTAAGTGTGTGTTGGTGTTTGTGGGCTGAAAAATTTTGCTCACAAAAAGTTAATGCTGTAAAACCTTGCCCACGACTATTTATGATTTTGCACACGAACCAACAAACCTTAGAGGGAACATTGCCTTGGGGACATCTTTCTTGACCATGTTTGTAAAAACAACAGCCGAAACATTCTCATCTTATAGTCCTGTCTTTTGATTCAAGTTTCGACATCCCTTGTTTTTCTATTCCATTCACATAGCTTGAAAGCATGTCTTCAGTTATTATCTATTTACTGCTCTACGTTGAAAGCATGTCTTCAGTTATTATCTATTTACTGCTCTACGTTGAAAGACTGGCCTTGAGTTATTATCTATTTACTGCTCTACGTTGAAAGCATGTCTTGAGTTATTATCTATTTACTGCTCTACGTTGAAAGCATGTCTTGAGTTATTATCTATTTACTGCTCTACGTTGAAAGCATGTCTTGAGTTATTATCTATTTACTGCTCTACGTTGAAAGCATGTCTTGAGTTATTATCTATTTACTGCTCTACGTTGAAAGCATGTCTTGAGTTATTATCTATTTACTGCTCTATGTTGAAAGCATGTCTTGAGTTATTATCTATTTACTGCTCTACGTTGAAAGAATACCTTCAGTTATTATCTATTTACTGCTCTACGTTGAAAGCATACCTTCAGTTATTATCTATTTACTGCTCTACGTTGAAAGCATACCTTCAGTTATTATCTATTTACTGCTCTACGTTGAAAGCATACCTTCAGTTATTATCTATTTACTGCTCTACGTTGAAAGCATACCTTCAGTTATTATCTATTGACTGCTCTACGTTGAAAGCATGTCTTCAGTTATTATCTATTTACTGCTCTACATACTCCTTCTAAAACCCACTTTTTGGGGAAATGGGAGATTTTTATAATTTTCTCTCTCCACATTGAATAATGTAATTGTTTGTGTAGATCCCTGAAGACATAGTCTGCTGTATGCTCTTCTAGATTCAAAGATCTTACCAGAAGCTTTAAATATTAGTTTTATAAAAGATACCGGAAGTAGATGTCCCCACTATTCCCACAAATTAAGGGTTACTGGATAATAAAAGTCTTATAGTTCTGTCTTTTGATTCAAGCTTCGACATCCCTTGTTTTTCTATTCCATTCACATAGCTTGAAAGCATGTCTTCAGTTATTATTTATTTACTGCTCTACGTTGAAAGACTGGCCTTGGTATCTCATTCTTTGGCATAATATCTTATGGTTTTAAAGTTAAATGGCCTTCAGGGGTGACCGACCTGGTGAACTTGATTTTCTGGTTTGGCCAGTTAAATACCTTCAGGGGGGGAGGGGTAGGGGGGTGCAGGCGAAAAATATGACCCACCACCGGGCGCCACTTAGCCTCAGTAAAAAAAAAAAAAAGAAAAAAAAAAAATTTTGTGATGTCATTCTTTTCCTCTTCAGTCTACACCAAGTCTGTGTGTCATGTGATGGAGGTGGTCAGTGGTCCCCTCCTCCACAACCTGGAGTGTCGCCTCCAAGCCAACAAGCAGAGGATACAGCAGCTAAGCAAAGAGAAAGAGGAGCTGACCAAGAAGCTGAGAGTCTATCGTAGAAAGAAAGCCGTGCCAATCTAGTGAGACTGTCGTCCCTTCTCAATGGAGGTTTTAAGTATTTGAAATATGGCAAACAAAATACTTAATGGCATGCTAACTTTGTAATTGTTTGAGATTCAGACAAGAATGGGCACCGCTCCCTTGAATGTCATTTTTTGAGACTCAGACCAGAATTCGCCCTGCTCCCCTTGGATGTAATTATTTGAGAATCAGGCCAGAATGTACTTGTTAGAGTGTCTGCACCTCAGACTCAGTGATGAAAGCCTAGAGACAGTGGTTCCCAAGTTTTGTTTCACGAATCCAATCAGTTATTTAAACTATGTACTAAGCCCAAAAAGAAGTAGATTCATCAAAGTTAACCAAAAAAAAAAAAAAACAACCAACCAACCAAGGGTTTTTTCATTGAAAACTTTTTTGTTATGACGAGCCGCCGTCACACCCAGTCACACCCAGTCACACCCAGTCACACCCCGTCACACCCAGTCACACCCCGTCACACCCAGTCACACCCCTTCACACCCAGTCACACCCAGTCACACCCAGTCACACCCAGTCACACCCCGTCACACCCGTCACACCCCGTCACACCCAGTCACACCCCGTCACACCCAGTCACACCCAGTTACACCCCGTCACACCCAGTCACACCCTGTCACACCCAGTCACACCCCGTCACACCCAGTCACACCCCATCACACCCCGTCAGAAATTTTGTTTTGTTTTTAAAATAAATGAGTGGCAGATTTTCACCATGTTTGATTCCTTGTCTAAGTTGAAAATCTCCAAGTGCAATGTCTCGCTGGCATATGATGTCATTGGTTGTACATAACATATTTTGTGCTATGATGATCATTTTGATTGTATTGTCATGTTTCTTCTGTTATTTTTTATGCCATTTTTGGTTTTGACAATTCCATTATGTTATAACATATGATATTAAATTTTTTTTTACTAAAGAGAGATTGCTGCTGACGTTAGTTATGTATTTGTTTCTTGGTCTTAGCTTGCAAAACAAATACAGGTGAGATTTGATAGAAAATCTGGTCTTGCTAGATGTCCTCCTTGGTCTTACAAGATGTACCCCATGGGCAAGAGAGATGTCCCCCAAGGTCATGCCAGAAGTCCTCCTTGGTCCCCCAGATGTACTTCTGGTCAGGACATGTGTCCCCCAGGGTCCTGCATGATGACGTCTGATCTAATCCTCTGTTCTCGTTATTGACAGGCCAGACTGTCAGCAGCAGGAGCAAATTAACGTTTATAACAATAACAACGATTCGTGAGAACATTTCCTTAAAATACAATTTTTTGTAAGCCTCAATAAGTGGCAATCTTACATAAAATAGCTTTGGTGGGAGCAGTTGCCCTGCTCATCAAATTGCTTTATTTAGAGCAGTTGCCCTGCTCATGAAATGGCTTTAGATTTACAGTGAGCATTTGTCCCGCTTATCAAATGGCTTTAGATTTAGAGAGAGCAGTTCCCCTGCTCATCGAATGGCTAAAGATTTAGAGAGAGCAGTTGCCCTGCTCATAAAACGGCTTTATATTTAGAGAGAGCAGTTGCTCAAATGGCTTTGGATTTAGAGAGAGAAGTTGCCCTGCTCATCAAATGGCTTTAGATTTAGAGAGAGCATTTGTCCCACTTATCAAATGGCTTTAGATTTAGAGAGAGCAGTTGCCCTACTCATGAAATGGCTTTAGATTTAGAGACAGCAGTTGCCCTGCTCATGAAATGGCTTTAGATTTAGAGAGAGCAGTTGCCCTGCTCATGAAATGGCTTTAGATTTAGAGAGAGCAGTTGCCCTGCTCATCAAATGGCTTTAGGGAGAGCATTTTCACCATCTGTAAAGTGAAGTGAACACAAAAGTGTACATCAAGAAAAATAAGTTATTTATTGACAGCGTCAGTCGCCAAATGTGAAGCACAAACGGGAAGATATAAGAAACACGTCGAGACGTTCTCAGCGCTCTTCATTTAAGTGTTTAAAAAAATTTGAAAAAAAAAATTCTCAATCGTGCAGTTTTGCATCGCTCCTTGTAACGCCTTTTTGGTTTTCTGTAATCGACCTGCTCAAAGCCGAATGACTTGGAGTATCATATCAGATCTGTTGATAAAGGAAAAAAAATTCAACAAGAAAATGTTGAAAACAAAAGATGATCTCATACGGTTTTGTCATTTCTGACACCGGAAAACGTCACGAGGCATTACGCAATGTTACTATTTTGAAACAACGTTTTCGTATAACAGCTTCTCTAACAATGTATTTCCGCATATTTATATAGCAGTTACAATTTGTTTTTAAACTCTTTCTTAAAAAACAGTTGTAAATACGTTTTTGACTAGGTTAAGGTTCACATTAACGTAGACATAACATATCGAAAAGTTGTTTGGCCAAACAGAATACCAGTATGTTTTATTAATATATTGAGATTGGCCAGGCTGTACGCCCGGATGTTCTATTACTAGATTTCCACCATTAAATGACGAACCCTATGCTACTAAATTAAATTAATAAGAAAAGTAGATTAATACATGTATTATACGCCCGCTTGCACTGTTGTTAAAGTTAAAAGCTAACTATTGCAACAAAATTTATGCCGACATATCTTTCTAGTTTCCGATTCGCAATTTTACCAATCTCCCAAATAAGTAAATAAAAAAATCATAACATTTTGATTGATAGAAAGTCCTTAATCAATCAATCTAACAAAATCTTGTTTAGAAAAAGGTAGGAAATAGAGATACGAAACAAATTTCGTAAAGTTTATGTTTTAAAAAGTGGAATTTGTATTGTTTCTCCATCTAGCATATGCAATTGTTATCAAATACCACCCCACCCCACCCCCTTTTTTGTTACCCCGAGCTTCTAGGTCTAGGGGTCTAACCAACACCGACAAAGATGGGTTTTTTTTTCTCTGAGATCATAAACCGTTTTTTTTAACGGGCCGGGGGATTGAACTGTCTTATACAACAACGAGAGGGGAGATAACACCGATGTTCTAATGTCTATTAAGGCCCCTACTCACCCCAAGAGTCTGTATCCACTCTGTGACAGCACAGCGTCATCAGTCCAGTGCCTGTCACTGTCCTTTCTTATGTTCTCAATATCCTCCCTGTTCAATCGCTCACTTACTGTAGCAATACGCGTGGGTGCATGTGACGCGAAGACAGCCGGAGCACGTTCAGGTAGCTGCCAAGATGGATCCCGTACATAAAGTCCTGATACGTCTAGGTCAGTCTGTGACTCAGGTACGCTCCTGTCATTAAGTGGGCCAGGTACGCTCCTGTCATTAGGTGGGCCAGATACGCTCCTGTCATTAGGTGGGCCAGGTGCGATCGCATCATTGGGTGAGCCGGGTGCGTTCTCATCACTTGGTGGGCCAGGTACGCCCCTGTCATTTGGTGGGCCAGATACGCCCCTGTCATTTGGTGGGCCAAGTACGCCCCTGCCATTTGGTGGGCCAGGTGTCCTTACATCACTTTGGGAATCGTGTATTATAAAGCTGTCTAGCTTAACATCCATCATTTCTGGCTCGGCAGAGGACGCTCCGAGGTCAACTGATGGCTCTAAATTTGTCGCAGCAGCCTCGTTTCCAAAATATCCACGTCTTGATACATCTTCACCCTGTGCAGCCGAGAGCGAGTGAAGCATTTCAGCTGTCTCCATTACTCCTTCAACAGAATCGATGTCCTTATGCGGAGTCGAACACTCATCTTTTTCTAAGCTATCCCGTTTCGTTGCTTCCGTGACGTAGTTTCCGGTAAAACAAAGCGCTATTCTTATACGAGCCGCACTTCCGCTGGCTAGCATACGTCTGATGGCGCCATTTTCTATCCTCCCGTTATTTAAAATGTCGTGCAACTGGCGAATGTCGCTGTACAGCAAAACGCTACCAACAGAAGCCGTCATTTTAGCCGGGCCTCTCTCCGAGGCGTCCGACAGTCAATGAGACAGTTCAACATGATGACCCACGCGAACGTGTCAGACACAATGGCTCAACACCACATGAACCCGACGACACGTATGCTGGCATGTGCTGCCTAATGACATATGTTTAGCTACTCTCTCTGGATAAGACTAAGCGCCAAGGGAATGGAAGGCACGCTTATAATGAAGTGATAATAGGGCGGGATAATCGATGGGAAATAGATACTATATGTATCTGGGTATTCCAATACAGCATAATACCATATGCCATGATTTATGAATAGTAGATTTCCAACTCGGGGATAAGTAGGGAATAAAAAAACAACAAAAGTAACTTGGACAAATATGTTAATATTTCCTTTATGTACAAAAAAAAAAAAAAAAAAAAAAAAAAAAAAAAAAAAAAACAAAAAAANCCAATCAAAAAGCTCCTCGTAGACCCTATCAAAAAGCTCCTCGTATATCAATCAAAAAGCTCCTCGTAGACCAATCAAAAAGCTCCTCGTTGACCAATCAAAAAGCTCCTCGTAGACCAATCAAAAAGCTCCTCGTAGACCAATCAAAAAGCTCCTCGTAGACCAATCAAAAAGCTCCTCGTAGACCCTATCAAAAAGCTCCTCGTATATCAATCAAAAAGCTCCTCGTAGACCAATCAAAAAGCTCCTCGTTGACCAATCAAAAAGCTCCTCGTAGACCAATCAAAAAGCTCCTCGTAGACCAATCAAAAAGCTCCTCGTATACCAATCAAAAAGCTCCTCGTAGACCAATCAAAAAGCTCCTCGTTGACCAATCAAAAAGCTCCTCGTTGACCAATCAAAAAGCTCCTCGTTGACCAATCAAAAAGTTCCTCGTTGACCAATCAAAAAGTTCCTCATTGACCAATTAAAAGCCTCACGATTACATAGCCACATATTTTCAACACATTAAGCTATAATAATTTAATATTTTGTGTGTATGGCACATATCACAAACAGACAGTGCGTTTTGTGGAGAGGAGGCATCTGGGAACATTTCCTTTTTTTCTGATTGCAAGGAATTTGAAGACATAGAGAAGGAAAAGTTTTATCTCACGAGTTGTAGAAAGTCAAATGATCAATGGCCCATGACTGTCTGGGCGGGGCTTTGCATCATGCACTCGTCGTTCACTTTCGTGTGTGTCTCACCCTCCTCGTCTCCGCCCACAAACGCCTGATTGTCGATCCCGATCTGACCCCGCCTGGATTTCTTTGGCTCGACGTCACCAACCGACGAGCACTGGTGCGTGACGTCATGTTCAAGGCCGTTGGCCGGAGTTTTGGTCTCCTTAGCACGACCTGGTCTGAATTTTTTTTTCGAGGGAGAACTCAGTCGGATGTCATATGGAACAGCCGACTCCATCTTGTAGGGCGTCAGGTATGTTTGTCGGGAAGTTGAAAAGACCAGAATTCAGGTGCAGAGCGTGTCTGATAAAAATGAAAATAGAAGCATAACATAATTGTTGTTAGGATACAGAAGGGGCTTTAACTCTGCTAAACACCACCATAACTCTGATCCGAGTTAAAATAAAACATTCAGCAATACAGGCATGAAAAAAGATCCGTTTTTACGACCCTTAATCCACCCCCCCCCAACCAAACTTTTTGATTATTAAAAAGTCAGACTTTGTCTTTATTTTGATAGAAAACACCTGCCTGACCAGTTGATAATGACCTTTTTATAAAGTTGTAAGCTGGCCAAGATTAGGGGCAACTAAACCATAATCAATAATATTTGCTCATGATTTGTTAAAAGACCTTTATTTTCCTTCCCTCATGTTCATCTTGTCCGTCGTAATGTGTTTGTTTGAACACACGTCTCAGCGAGCTCGCTTCTGTTCATCCCAGTGATAACCCGGAAGGTCGCTTCTGAGTTATATCCAAATCTACATCGCGTCTGCTTCGTTAAGTAAAAGGCGCGAGATCAAGCGGGTGAGGGGTCGGGGGTGGGGGTATGGGCAGGTCTTATGAGAGCTGCATGATTTTGGGTGATTAAAAAAAGGTAAATAATATTTATTTTGTCGTTCATATTTAAATTAAAATGGTAGAACTAAAAAGTAGCCATTAAAAAAATTAAACAAAAACTTTAAAAAAAAAAGAAAAAAAAAAAAAGAAAAAGACTTTCCATAAAAAATAAAAAGGAAAAAAAAAAAAAAAACAAAAAAAAAAAAAAAAAAAAAAAATAAAAAAAAAAAAAAAAAAAAAAAAAAAAGAAAAAGACTTTCCATCAGAGACCAGTTTCAACAATTGACAATTTCTTATAATGCATTAGGAAAAGAAAGTCTGCATAAAATATGTTAAATAAATTAATAAAAATGAAACATCTTTGAGTTTCGTCCGCATTTAGTTTGAACCCTTTGCCTTCATAGAGTGCTCATCTACACTTCTGTATTCTTTCTTTGGCTACATAGAGTGTTCATCGGCACGTCTGTACAGTCTGTCTTTGGTTACAAAGAGTGCTCATCTACACTTCTGTGCAGTCTGTCTTTGGCTGCGTGGAGTGCTTATCTACACCTCTGTACAGTCTTCCTTTGCCTTCATAGAGTGCATATCTACACTTCTGTCAACGTCTTCCTTTGCCTTCATAGAGTGCATATCTACACTTCTGTCAACGTCTTCCTTTCCCTTCATAGAGTGCTCATCTACACTTCTGTCAAGTCTTCCTTTGCCTTCATAGAGTGCATATCTACACTTCTGTCAACGTCTTCCTTTGCCTTCATAGAGTGCATATCTACACTTCTGTCAACGTCTTCCTTTGCCTTCATAGAGTGCTCATCTACACTTCTGTCAAGTCTTCCTTTGCCTTCATAGAGTGCATATCTACACTTCTGTCAAGTCTTCCTTTGCCTTCATAGAGTGCTCATCTACACTTCTGTAAAGTCTTCCTTTGCCTTCATAGAGTGCTTATCTACACTTCTGTATACGCCTTCCTTTGCCTTCATAGAGTGCTCATCTACACTTCTGTCAAGTCTTCCTTTGCCTTCATAGAGTGCTCATCTACACTTCTGTCAAGTCTTCCTTTGCCTTCATAGAGTGCTCATCTACACTTCTGTACAGTCTTCCTTTGCCTTCATAGAGTGCTCATCTACACTTCTGTACAGTCTTCCTTTGCCTTCATAGAGTGCACATCTACACTTCTGTACAGCCTTCCTTTGCCTTCATAGAGTGCACATCTACACTTCTGTCACAGTAATTCTTTGCTTTTGCATTTTAAGAAATTGTAAATCATGTTATACTTTTAGTTTTTTAAACTCGCCTTTAATAGAAATTCTTTTTTTTTTTTAAAGTTCTTTTAATATCCATTTTAAAATACTTCAAACGAGTGTTGCAAATACCAAGAGTGAGTTAAACATGGCTACCAAGGTTGAGTTGTACATTGCTACCCAGGTTGAATAATACATAGCTACCACGTTTGAGTTATACATGGATACAAAGGTTGAGTTATACATGGATACAAAGGTTGAGTTATACATGGATACAAAGGTTGAGTTATACATGGATACAAAGGTTGAGTTATACATGGATACAAATGTTGAGTTATACATGGATACAAATGTTGAGTTATACATGGATACAAAGGTTGAGTTATACATGGATACAAAGGTTGAGTTATACATGGCTAGCACGGGTGATTTATTCATGGCTAGCAATGTTGTGTGAGAACCTTATAAAATGATTTTCATGGGAGAATCCAGCACAGCAACTGGCAGTGAGCTCTACAACGGGACAACTGACAGTGAGTTATGCGCCGTTACCACATAAACAAAGACTACACCTGTTATACATCTTTATGTCTTTGGCTCCTGTCAAATAAAACCATCTCCCTGCTGATAAAGTCACGTCTGCTTGTTTGGCCGACGGGAAGAAATGTGACACGTTTTTGTAGTTGTAGTCGATCGAGTGCTTCAAACAAACATACAACAAGACTGGATACTAGAAAACGAGCAACAGGCGAATCAAATTATAAATGTACACACGTCAACATACACAGTTCTCTGAATCTCAAAAGAACTTAACCAACTTACTAGAGGTCGACCGAATTTCGGCTTCGGTGCCGAAAGTTGCCATTCGATTATTTTCGGCGTTGTTTCGGTTTCGGTCGAATTTCGGTTTATTTTCAGTTTATATCGAAAGTTAATGGTGCTTTCGGCTATCTACGAGAAGTCATATTGTCACTCTGTGTGTCTGTCGGCCGGTAATCCGATATTCATTATTGCTTGACGTCTTGATGTCATCGTAAGATATATGACTAATCCTGTGCGAACATTGTTCACGGCTGCATGATGACCCACATGTTCAATATTTTCCCAAAATAAAATCCCCGTGAGGCTAAGCAAAAGTAAACAGTTTTGTTGAAAATAAAAACAACAACCCTAGGGAATGGTCATATTTATATTATTATTTTTTGTTTTAATTAAAAACATAATAACATTAGGGAACCTAGATTTCTTCAAAATTAATTCATTCATTTGTGACATTAACTTTGATGTATCATTATCGTGCTCATAAATAAGCAAAGGTGAATAATATTATTAAAAAAATCCCAGAAAGTGGTACATTTTCTAATATTTTTATATGTTAAAAAATACCATGGAATGGCACATTTTCTAATTTTTTATTTGTTTAATAAAACAGAAATGAAATTTAGGCAATCTTGGCTTATTTATTTTATTCATTTATTGAAATTCCATATAGAGCTTTGTTTACTGTGTGTGTGTGAGATTCCTTTTCATAATTGTACCCATTTGGCAAATTTTGTTTCCTTCAACATTCTATTTTCGTCAACACTGTACCAGTACAAGCCAAACATTATTCTGTAAGTCAATAGATTTAATTACAAGCCCAACATTATTCTGTAAGTCAATAGATTTAATTACAAGCCAAACATTATTCTGTAAGTCAATATATTTAAATACAAGCCAAACATTATTCTGTAAGTCAATAGATTTAATTACAAGCCCAACAATATTCTGTAAGTCAATAGATTTAAATACAAGCCAAACATTATTCTGTAAGTCAATAGATTTAATTACAAGCCCAACATTATTCTGTAAGTCAATAGATTTAAATACAAGCCAAACATTATTCTGTAAGTCAATAGATTTAATTACAAGCCCAACATTATTCTGTAAGTCAATAGATTTAATTACAAGCCAACATTATTCTGTAAGTCAATAGTTTTAATTACAAGCCCAACATTATTCTGTAAGTCAATAGATTTAATTACAAGCCAACATTATTCTGTAAGTCAATAGATTTAATTACAAGCCAACATTATTCTGTAAGTCAATAGTTTTAAATACAAGCCAACATTATTCTGTAAGTCAATAGTTTTAATTACAA